TAAAGGCTTGATGTTGTTGTTATAATAATAAAAAGAAAAAAAGGAACTTTTAAATGGTTTATATATTTTTTTAGACCAATGTGCAAGATCAACCTGATTAAATGCCTAAACGTATGGTAGTTGCAAAAACATGGTTCATAGCCTTGCCACCAATAAATGCAATGCCCATAAGATTTGATTGTGACCCCAAATCAAAGTCTAATTAACACAATCTCCAACACATTGTTAGAAAAAAACTTCCAATGCATTGAGTTATAGCTATAGGGTGTGACTGGATGACATAAAATGCTCTCAATATGTAATGCATGGGACAAACCTTCCAACACATAGGAAACTTATTCTTAATTTGCTGTTGTGATTTGTGCTTTGATAGCATGTGACAGAACAACCCTCATTCCTAGCCTCTTGTTCACAAGTTGTCTTTCATCAAGTATTATCAAGCATGGGTTTCAAGCTTGATCCCTCACTATGGCCAATAGAGAGAGAATGATAAAGGACTCTCATTGTTTGCTTGCCAAGGCTAAATTCTAATTGGCTTGTAGGCAAATCATGTTTGTCAAAGCACAATTTGGAACACACTTCTCATTTGAAGCGATGGGGTCTTCTTTGCCTCTTTTCTATATGCTATCTATGTGTGAAGCGAGTGTGGTCGAGTGCTTAAGTACTCACGCGATATACATTGGCCTTGGCTCGGCTAGGCTCGATTTTGTCATTTTAGGGTTTAGGATATGGGTTGTTCAATTTTTTAAACCTATTTATTTACTAATATAAAGCTTTGACAAGCTTCGAGTGGTCCTCGTCCTTGACCACAACAACATCCCTTGTCACACAACAACCATAACCTTCTTTCCCTTGCTCAAACAAGAACGTCAATGCAACACTCCTGATCTAAACCCTAACAACAATTGCCTTCTCTTCTATCAACACAACAATTGCGACCATATATGTCCTTATTTAGTTTTGTGAGTATAATCTTTTTCGGGTTTTATAAGAAACATATCTTTAATATTTTTAGATGGTTATGTGCATTTTAAATTGATTTTTAATAAATTTAACCTCCCTTAGAAAAAGAAAAAAAAAAGTTAAGAGGACATTTAATGGGATTAAACCTCTAATAATATATTAAAATTATTTCTAGGTTATATATAATTATTAATAAATATAAATTTTTTTATAGATTTAATGCTTTGGTTCAAATGCTAGACCATCTTTACAATCAAATGATTGTGTTGAAATATAAAATAATGTGGAATAAGCATAATTATGTTAAATTTCTTTTGGTTTTATGGCAACATGTAATAAAATTTAGGTATAGCCGAAATAAATGTGATGAGGAAATATTCGACTTAAAGGTGTACAACAACAACAACAAGCCTTTATCCCACTGCGTGGGGTTGGCTATATGAATCCTTTTTCTTCATATGTCCTATTAAGAGTGATTATTCAATAAGTTTTATGTTGACTGTTGACTACCTAACACAACTCTCTATTTTTCTCATCTAAAGTTTGGGTCCTGAAAGCGGCAATGTTAAAGTTCAACTTAAAGGTATATGAAGTTAAAATTTAACTAAAGTACTCTTTGCCCCACATGCATTTATTGTGGTAAAGAGATAAATGAAGGTATCTCTTGAGCCAAGGTGCATCTTATTTGTCCTTATGGAACATCCAAAGGGAGTAATGTATCTAAATGCAAGGTGCCTTCACATATAAGAGAGGTGTTGGTTGCTTATTAAGAAAGAACAAAAAAATTTGAAACAAAATTTATTTATAGAAAATAATGAGAGGGTGACAGAGTTCATTGAAAAATTAGATGTTCAAATGCCCATGCATTTTGGTATAAAGATAATTTGATCAGATTTTCTAACAGGAAGCATCAATGTGCTTAAAAAAAAGTATAATGAATCATTTTCCATATCAAGAACCTGAAAAAGAGATTGCAATAAAGAAAAATATGAGACAAAGGGAATAAAATAAAACGTAGATTATAGAATAAGAGATAGCCATTATGGATTTAGAGGATCACAAAAAAAAAAAAAAAAAAAAAAAAAAAAAAAGCGAAAGAAGGGGTGCACTTATATTCAGATGACTGGATTGATCGTAGAGACGATATATTATAATGTTTTTTTGTTAATTCACCATCTGGTATAATATTGATGGAGTCTATAGCTGCATTTGCATTGAAGGATTTGGAACTCCTTGCATGCATGGTGAAGATTGGAGAATAGAATGTTCTCCAAGTGGTTACAAATAACTACTCTAGTATGTTATATTATAGGTTTATGTGTGTATATATATATGTATTTTTAATTGTAAAACTATTTGTTGTACCTTTAAAGATCTTGTATGTGAAATTCTTGTATGGAAAAGAAGACGCACATGCATGTATATACTTGACATCACGTGCTTCCCATTGCATTGATTTGAAGTCGGAGGATATTGAAAAAAACACTATTAAAAGTTTTGAAGTTATAATAATAATAATAGTAATAATAATAATAATAATAATAATAATAATAATAATAACATATTTAATGATGACTATGAAGGAATGAAAACAAATGAGATCATTTTTAAGGTAACATTTTGAACTGTTGTGATTTACGCTTTGATGATTACAAGCCCATTTACAAAGATGTTGAAAATAGTAGATATTGATGAGTTTGATAATGAGTTATATTTTTGATGTAATGGATGAAGTGAATGATATAATTAGTGTTGCATTTGATAGAGATGAAGTACAAGTCTTTTGTATGATTAATGAGACAGAGGTGTCAACTTTGACAAACATTGCATAATGCCAACTATAATTTTAATCCAAAGTTTTTACAAGAATAAGTCTATAATACAACATATGGACAATTAATGGAAGGCTTGTATGTTTATTGGTTTATTGGTGGGAAACTCAAATGGGAGAATGACTGAATTATTTATTTGTAACTATTGTGATAGTCTATTTGCAATCAAATTTCTATCCACAATAGAGATAAGAAATTGCTTTATATAGTCAATTACAACTTCTATATAATTTTGAACTTCTTTATTGATTAAAGATTTAGTAATGATATTATAATTTTAAATTTAATATAACGGAGTGGTTGGTGATGTATGTTGCTTCAGCCCAAATTTAACAAAAATTGGCTTTAAGATTTTAGGTTTGATTTGGATGTTAGATGAACTAGAGTGTCTTTGAGCCGTTTGATAATTTATTAATTTTAAATATATTCAATAATTTATATATTTTATGCATTTATTATGAATTTTTTTTCTATTGATTCATACAAAGAAGAGAAATTGATTAAAGCAAAAACATTTAAGTGATTTTGTGCATGAAGTATAATCAAACTTTGAAAACAAGATTTACTTTGAGAGGTGTTACTGATCTAATTAGTTTGAATTCTATTGATGAAAGTTGTGAGTAAATAATTGAGAAAATGGCGGATTCTATTTAGCAACAATTAGAAGCAGCAGCAAATCACCAAATTAGAAGCAGCAGCAAATCCCATTCTCAATAAAAAGAATGAACATCATAAGGATTCATAAGGTAGTTTTAGTGATTAAGGTGACGGTTTTAGATTGGAAATTGAGTGTTAAATGGAATAAGAAGGTCAAAGATCAAACAATAAAGCAAAATGGCATCCTTGTGATAATTTTCATGAAATATTTTATAGCATACTAATCAAGGTGCAACCATAATATAGCTCAAGGGAAGGGGTAACCAGGCTCATTAGAGGCAAGAAACCATTGCACTCTTAGCAATATTAATGAATTTCATAAGCATTTATATTTTCCACCATAGTTTTGGTGATTAAGGTGACGGTTTTAGGGTGAAAATTGAACAATAAAATTCTAGACATTAGTTCAAACCTAAAGACATAAAAATGTCAAATCTTGTTCAACAAAGCAAACATAACATTCTTTTCATGATTTTCATTGAATGTTTTATGGCATACAAAGAAGTTGCTACCATAACTATTGAGTATTGAGGTTCAAGAGTAATATCCCATGGCAAGAAGCCAATTTGGTGGCACTTTTTTTCTGACTTCTTGTCCCCATTTTTTTTGAACTTTTGGCTCTTATTTTCGCTTCTATGTCCTTCAATTCTAATTCCTTGCTAATCGGGTACAGAGCAAAGCTGATGAAGGAAATAGGAGACATGAATGAGAAAAAGGATTGTTCAGAATTTTTAAAAACTAATGCAAATTGGAAAATAACCCTTAATCCTTGGAATGGTTTAATAAATATGGAAGGCATTGTTAGATGAAGTGGTATTTATATTGATAAAAAAATTAGAATGGAAAAACCTAAAATAGTGGAGAACTTGTCCTTTTTTAGTACTACTTTTGGTCAATGCGATGAAGTCATTAATAATAGTTGTTGTTGGATTCTAATGGCTTTCTTTCATTTTCTTTTCTTTTATCAAACAGCCACTCACATGGTATTTTTCCAGTGACATGGTCTTATAAGTTGTGAATCAAAATAATGATGTGAATGTTTCTCTTAGAATATTGGAAGTTTCTTGAAGTTATAAAAAATGAAAGAAAAAGTTACGTGAAACTGTAGTGAAATTGTTGGAAGTCTACATAAAATTTCAACCCTAATCCTATTTTATAAAAACTATCCAAACTTTTAATCCTTTTACTACCCTTATTGTCATTGTAGATTGGCTTCTGATAGGATAAAAATAAAATTTCAGAAGTCTACCTTTTTATTGACATTTTCTACATTGCATATATATATATATATATTTGCTTCTCCCTTCTACTGTCCGGTGCCAGTTTTTTCATTGTTCAGGCTCTAAGCATAAGATTGATGGTATATTATTATATTATGTTGTTTTGTTTGAGTGTGTATATTGATGATGAACTCATGCTTGATAATTAGTTAGATGATCACATGTTGTTGAATTCTGCCTATGGCTTCAGTCATTCTCGGATTACCAAATAGATTTAATTGGACAAATTGATGAATTGTTCTTAATGTTTCTATTTGTCTTTGAACAGTGAAGGGGATGCAACTTGTAATTGATTTGCAACAGGACTTGAAGGTTGCAAATGTCATTTGCATGGTAAGGTTAATTAGGGGCTTATTAGTTACTAGAGTTTCACAAAGATGTAGTTATTCGTCAATGAGCACAAACAAAGAACTAAACTCAATATAATTGTTTTATTTCTTTTATCGGCTAACTGTGATTTTTTTTTTTAATTTTCTTGTTTTGACCTCTTCTTATTGTCAAATTTCAGAATGGGAGAAGACACATAGCCTCTTCCAAGCATGAATTTTCAATGGAACTTGTTGTCCATTCTCACTCGAAAAAGAAACAAGCTTTACTGGTAGTTTTTTTAAATTTTTTTTATGAAGCTAATAATTTTATGTTACTTGGTTGTGGAGGTTCTGCTTCTTAGGTGTAAAGATACATGAGATCTTAGGGTTTATGGTTTTTAAGATACAAAATCACGCACACAAGGTTATTTTGTAGTCACAAAATTCTAATTTAGTAAATAATTTTTCACTTTAGATGAATACTGAAAATACACATGATCTGCATAAACAATAGTTTAGCATTCGTCTAATAGAAATTTAAATTAGAAACAAAGCATGGAAGATTATCATAAAATAATTATATGGCCGATTGAAAACTCACACCATAACTTTAAAAAAATAAATTGTGCCATATTAGACAATATTCAATCATGCAACTTTGACATTATTCAATTTGTAGGCGGAGCAATAACTAAATTAGAAAATATAAACAAAACAAATAAAAGTAATCAACAAATAATAATTCAAATTTCATATTGGTACAAAGAGATAATTTCCCTTCAAAATCTGTTGTCTTTTAACCACACTAGGATAGAAAGAATCACTTCCACATTCACTCAAACAGGTGGAGGCATTTTTTAATAAGTTATCCTGGATGGGTGGTCAAGCCACCCTATGCTTTTACTCAAATTGAGAAGTTTGCTTCTTTTAGCATAATTTGTTAGTTCACTTCACCCTACTTCTAGTAGGTGCAAACTACTAGGTAATATTGTTTTAAATGAAAAAAAAAAAACTTATAGATCTGCAATTTTCTTACAAAAAAATGGTCACAAAGCTCTCTCAACAATCAAATTGCAAGTGGCAGAACAAGAAGTGTTGAGAAAGGGGAGAGAGGGAGACTTGTGAAGATTAGTTATAGGCTTACGATTGTATCACTATTTTTCCCAAAGGTTTCCAAGGGTATATGTAAATCAAAACATTGTTAATCATGTTCTTTTTAATCAATTAGTCATTGTTGAATTACAAAATATCACCTGATAGCTGTTTAAAAGAATAAAGTTAAAAGAATTGATTATGACTAGTTCGATTCAGAATAAATCAAGAAGATTGTATGGCATCATACGAGATGATCCATAGATGCATCTAATTAATTAGCTTTATTTTGATTTAGACCTAAAAAGACTTGGTTAGAAAATATTAGGAATGACCTTTCTTTATTAGATTTAAACGAGAATTTGACTTTTAATAGGACACAATGGAGAAAAAGGATTCATGTAGCCGACCCCACGTAGTGGGATAAAGGCTTGATGTTGTTGTTGTTGTAAGAATGATCCATAGATGTTGTTGTTGTTGTTGTTGTATTTTGATTTATGTGATGATTGAGTTTGAGCTTGTGTCTAGCAAAATATTCTTTCTAGTCATCTTGAGGGTGACAATGCTCATATTGGGTTGGTGGTAGTGGCTATGGAGCTGCTATATGTGATGATCATTCAGCTGTTTTTTCTTCACTACTACTATTAACATCCTTTACATTGTAGCTCTGTTTGTATATTACATCGAATGAGTAGTTGAAGGAAAAATAATGTGATTTGATTGTTCGGAATAAGTGAGATTGTATTTGGCTTATAAAATATGCCATGACATGACCACGAGCCAAATTAGATTGACATTTGCCCTTAGGGTTGCAGTTAGATGCCAGGTTTTCAATTAAGTTCATGATAGTAATCACTACATTAAATTCTTGATAAGTCATATAAATATAAAAAAAGGTAATGAAAGAATGAGTAATGTGCTATTTATCCTATCCTTGCTTTGGACTGATATCATAACAATTCACATGTTGGGTAATAGATACATTTGTCACAAGTTTACTCATTTGAGGACACGGTGGGAAATAATAGAATTTGCATTTGTCCAATTGTAGGAAGGGTTGGATAAAACAAACATGAAGATGAAGACCGTTATTGTAAACACACAAAAATATATGAAGATCACTTGTTATGATTTCCACTTGGCGATTGTACACATAAGATCCCTTTTAGGGGAGTAGATACTTTAGATCTGGTCTATGTTAAGATAGATCTAAAAAGTCTTGGTTAAAAACTATTAAAGATGATATTTGTTATTAGATCTAAATGAGAATTTAATTCTTAATAGGACAATGTAGAAAAAGGGTACATGTAGTCGATCTTACATAATGGGATAAACTTGTTATTATTGTTGATTGCACACATAAGATGAAAGTGTAGTGTATTGTCTATCGACCTAAAAATTGGCAACAAATATTGAAAGAAACTCCTAATGATAAGATGAGAGAGAGAGAGAGAGAGAGAGAGAGAGAGAGAGAGAGAGAGAGAGAAGTGAGAAACTATAGTGTGGTGCCAATATTTGATTTCTCTTGGAGAATTAAATCATAATGCATACATTTTTACATGTGATATTAGAAGCATGAAAGTGTGTAAAGGCTTCTTCATGAACATGAAACATATTCATATAAATGGAGTGTATGTATTGTAGAGTAAAATAGTGATCGGAGGATGTGTTAGCATGTCTTGTAATATTGTTGATGAAACCAATTTATCGTCATCAAAGATTTTGACATATAAACTTGAAAGAAATTGAACAAATATGATTCAATGGAAAAAAGCCCAAATATTTGGATTTTTGTGAATACGATGTGGTGGGGAATGTGGGCTCCGAAAACTCCATTTGTGCGATTCCGGCCTCTCCGCGTCATCAGTCTATTTTTCTTTTAAGTGTATGTATAACGATGGAGAGTTTTAACGAGATTAGGTTCCAGTTGAATTTTCAGAAGGCAGATTAGGTTTTAGATAAGACACTACCCAGAGATTTCGTCCTCATTTTGTGAGGACTTTTTGATCTGAGTTCTAGTTTACTATAGGCATAAGCCCCTATAGTTAATTACCCCTCCCGATAATGAGAGAGCTTTCGATTATGATTAGTTGTTAAAGAGGTCGAATATGTTATACACCCATCATATAATATCAATAGTTTTAGGGTTTGAATTTTGGATTTGAATTTTGAAATTTGGAATTTAGAGTTTATCATCGTAAATTTAAAATTGGTGGTGGGGTAATGAAGACGAGCCCGATCCAGATCCCATGGTTCCGTCGTCCCGTGCTGTCATGATCCTTAGTCTACTTTGTCAGAGGAGGTAGTCGACCCAACCTGATAGAAAGCACCTTGTCGGCAACCATGGATTGCTTTGTCCAAGTATACCTTGTAGACCTGGGTTGATATTTATCTAATGGGATATATCTGAATCCACCTTAGCTAACAGAGGGCTTTATGCCTATCGAATATACCCTATGATTCATAACTCAAGAGTTTGACGCTATTAGGGAACATACGGGCATTAGTCGTGATCATAATATAATGATGTCATTTTGCGGCAAAACCACCCGATCAGAGGGCACGTGCCACGTCCATGCTAGCAAGAGACTATTTGAGGATGAATCCTAGTAATACACCTGATATGCATTCTCTCTTTGTGTGCTAAGGTTAATTTCAAATTTATCACCCCCGACAAACAATTACGGGTGGTGAATATGTTTTAGTTTTAAATTTCAAGAATTTGGGCAGTTGTTTGATTTGTGATTTGACCCCTATGGTTGAGATTTCCTGTCAACACGGTCATCATCGAGGTGACTTTAAAGTCACTTGTATTTTTGTAGAATTTTGGGAGGCATTTTGTAATTCAAGTTGTGTCGACTCCAGTCCTTTCAAGGAGGATGAGACTTGAATATTTGACCCACGTAGCATTCTCGAATCGTTGGATTTGAGATTCAGATGTGACGATCAGAACACATGCAGGTTGTAGCATTTGACCCTACACAGCATTCTCAGACATTCATGTTTAGAAATTTATTACCTTTGTCAGAGCACATGTAGGGTGTAGCATTTCAGTTTAGGGGATTATATCTGATACATAAGGGACATTTTAAAATATTTAAATATGATCCATTGTGTTAGCAATTTTATTTAGAAATACCTTATATTTCATTTAAAGATATACAAACGCCTTATGTTCGCTTGTACACATGTTGCAGATCCGGTGGCATTAAAAGTATTGTTTGTTACTTCTTGCATCATTTGTAGTCCTTTCGCATTTGTCCACCTATAACATGTTGAACATATAATTAGCTTCCTTCAATGGCTCGTAGGCTTTTATGGTTTTTGTAGTTATTTAACATCTTGTTCATACGCGATATTTTGTGAATATGGCAGGTCTCCTTTATACGATGTGTCGTGTGCATTGCAACTTATGACATTCGTTGCATGTCAAGTTCTTTTATCTGTAGGGGGCTGTTGTATAAATCAGGAGTCTTCTACACCAAGTCGTAGGGGATTTCACATATACTTGTAAGTTTGCTACATATATTGTTGTTTGCAATCAAATTAACAAACTTTCTTGGAGTTGCATAGAATTGATTATGCATAGACCTCATTCACTTCTAACTCATTAAATGCATCCAATTGTTATGCTTGTGGCACATTGATTCTCTTCATTTACAAGGGATCTATTACACTAGAGCATATCCACCACCGTTTCTTGCAGTGTACTCAGAAGATGCTCTCTTCATTAATTTCCAAGTGATTATTTTTTATTATTATTGTATTTATTTTAAATCACTTAAAATAGAAATTTGATGGTGTGAGGGTCCCCTTTTTGTATTGGTAGATGTTTATTTGAATGACTTGAATTTATCACTTAGCAGTTGTATTTCCAACTTGAATGTATGTTTATTAATTTAAATTTTGATTCCTTATATTTTAATTTAGGTTCAATTCCAAGTGACTCATTAAAGTTCAAGTTCTTATAGTCATGTTGAGTGTAAGTCTGGTTCGAGTTTGAGTTTAAGTCCAAGTCCTATATTGTTTGATCGAATTTGATTTAAAATTGATTTTATGTTTGACTTATTGTTCAAATCAATTTTCAATTTTTTGTCCAAGTCCTTTATTGTTTCACTAAAAATTTTGACAGCCTCCCGTCGTCGCCTCCCTGGCATCGGGAGGTAAGGAGGGCATTTGCCCTTTGGGCTCGACTCAGCCGAAGCATATCAATGGGATTGCAACCCATCTTCTTTTGATTTTTAAAGGATTGCAACCCATCTTCTTCTTTGACACCAAGCGACGAAACCGATCTTCATTTTCTTCGACACCAAACGATGGAATGGTCCTTCTCTTCCTTGATACTAGGCAAAACGTTAGAATTGGCCGAATCTACTGTCGCCAGTTCTCGGGATATTACTTGTTTTCACTAAGTAGTCTCTTTTTATCAGTTGGATATTATTCAGAACATATATAATATCTTTCTTCATTTTAATGGTGTAGAATCCATTCTAGATCTTTATTGTGGCGCCGTAATTTTCCTTCTGAGAGTGGCTAGTTATTGGAGGGTTGAACTTCGACGCCAACTTCTTATGCTTTCTTTAGAGTCCCCATTCGTTGATGACTTAGAGGAATTACAAATGAAAGTGGATACATACTCCTTATATGGGTACTTTTGAGTTAGACAATTGAGATGCCTCCAAAAACAACTTTGAGTTTTGCTCTCTGTTGTTTTGTTTTAAACATAACAATTTAAAGTCATTAATTGTCGGGGATGTTGGCCTCCATCTATTGCACTTTTGTGCTGTTAGACAAAGTTTTGGGTGCTCGATTTTGAGACAATCATTTGTCGTTCTTCTAGTCCTATGTATTTTGGTACAAGAAAAGGATGCTTTACAGCATGTCTTCTTGTTGTGAAGAGTAGATCTAATAACATTGTAGAATTGATAAATGGGTCACTAAAAGGGCTGGTGATTGTTAAATTGATTTCAGGTTTACAAGCCCTCCTTTTTGTATGGTCATGTTAGTTGAAAGTATCGAGAAAATTGAGGCACTCTTAGGACCAACCTAATAGTAGCAACATTGTTACCCTTGATTTATTGATTTCTTGGGAATAATCACCTTAGGGTTCCTCCTGCTGGTTGATGTGCCTAAGTTTTTAATTTAGTAGTTGTTTTGATGGAAGCCTCTCTTGATTTGTGTAGCTTCAATAGCTTGGGTGGTGGTGGGAACATGCCTCTTTGCCTCAGAGATAGTGCTAAACTAAATGGTAACACTTTATGCCACATGATTGTTTGTGTTTAGTTAACAAAATCACATAGCAACTATCACTATTATGGACCGAACATTCATTATATTCAAAATTACATTGGCACAAACAATTTGAGGATCAAGTAAATCAAAGATGAAGAGAGAAATTCTCCGAAATAAGTTGTTAGAAATTAGATTGTTTAGGAGAAACCACCCCAACCTGGTGCCTCCTCGATGTCATAAAAACATGGGAGTTGTTTCTTTTTTTTGTTTTGTTTGTGAGGTAGATTAAGTTTATTTAAGTTAAATCTCTCCTAACGAGGATGCTTAGTTTATTTAAATTTTGGGTAATGATTTCTTATTGTTATAAACCCCGATAGTTATTTATCCCTCATGGTCAAGAGAGTGCCCTTTAAATTAAAGAGGTTGCTAAACTCAATTTAGATAAAATATTGCTAAAATTTAGTTCTGTAGAGAATGGCTAGGAGGTAGACTTGATCCAGATTCAAATGTTCCATTTTCATAGGTTTATTATTGGATCCAATGTAACAACATTAGAGGGCTTTGAGCCTTAAAATATGCGGAGCTTGATTAACAATCATAGTTTCCCTTTTTGTAGATATCCTAAGAAGTATGACATGGCTACTAGTTATAACTGGTAAGAGTTTAGAGGTATGACATGGCTACTGGTTGCCCATGAGTCTTGGTTTAGCTCGAAGAAGCTTATTTAAGACACATGTGGTTTTGTTATTGGTCGTTTGTTTTTCTTTTGCAAGTGCAGTTCGTTTGTTTTTCTTTTGATCATTACTTTTGTTAAACCTTGTATTGCTAAATATGTGATATTGATGACCTGAAGCCTTAATTACGGCTGTTTTCTTGTAGCTTTTGATTTATTTTCTAAATCATCTGAAAATTTCATCTTAATTGTGCCTTTAGACATGACTTCCAAATTTATTTTATTGTAGAGAAATTTATTATTTCTTGATGTATGTTCTATAGTTTGATTTTTTTGAATGACATTGTTAATATCTTTATGTGTTGATAGTATATGCTGATGTAGGCAAGGGGGGGGTCAAATCAAATCCTAATATTTGATTTTTGACTCCTCTAGCTCATTAATGTCTAGTAAAAAAATTAGCTCATTATGAGCTGATTTTTAGTTCATTTATTGAACTAAAAATTAGCTCATTATTTCTTAAAATGATTTTTCTTCTTTCCCCTTTTTTCTTCTCATTTCCTTGTCCCTTCCCCTTCCTCTTTTCTTCTTGTCTCTTGGATATCCGTGGCCTACTCTTTAATGGTGGCTGAATTTTATGCATTATCTTGAAATTCCGTGGCTTGTATTTAATGGGGGCTGAATTCTATGCTTTGAATTCATTGGGAAGCTAAGGATTTTAATGCTAGACATTCCATCCGGCTGTTATTTCCATGCCTTGGCTGATTTCCGAAATGGGAAGCTTTTCCCGTTACTGTGCTGCTTTGAAAATTCCGCCTGTTTGCTGGTGCCTTGGTTCCGTGAGCTGCTGGGTTGATTTTCCAAAATGGGCTTTTGGAAATCCTATGAAAACTAATGCTTGGAATGATGTGGCTTTTGGCATTCCTTTCCTTTGGATTCTTGGGGCTGTTTGGTGGCTGATTGGGGAGGAATTCCAAGAGTTTTTTTACTGTTTTCTGTGCAGTTTTCTACTGCAGTTTTTTGGTGACTTTTAGCCTTCTTCTAGGTGTCTTTTAACCTTCCATATTCCCTAATATTTGGGCTGTTTGGCTGCCCTTTTTGTGCCTATAAATAATGTTGTTTGTGGCTGTTTTAGGTGATATAGAAGTGTGAAAATGTGATTTTTGGGACAAAACCTGAGTGGTTTTTTGGCTTTGGAAATCCTGCGGGCTCTTTCTAAGCTTCTTTCTCATCCCCTCCGGAAATCCTGCGGGCTCTTCCAACTTTCGTCTCGGCTTCTAATCTCTTTCTTCTCTCCATAGTGCCATTCCATTGTATCCTTCTTCTCAAAGTAAGCAAGTTTAGGGTGTCTTGTTTGAGTCAAGTTTGTAAGTCTTTCCTTTTTTATGATATAAAAAGTTTGTTTTGTCTAATTTGTCTAGTTTTTGTGAGTTCTTGTAATCTTTTATTCTCTAGAAAGAGTTTCTTTTTTGTGATCAAAAATTTGGGTCCCTCTCCCAAATTTTTGATTGCATCAAAAGTGTTTGAGGAAATTCCTCCTCTAGCTAGGGGGCTGAGAGTAGTGGGCAGAGCATCATTTTTTGCTCATTTGGGAAGAGCGTGCCCCACCTCCATAAACCAATTCATAGAAAAGCCCTAAGCATATATAAATTTTAGAGGTTGGGGACCTAACTTCCTTCAATAAGGATGGAGTCATCATCGATCTATGCATGGAGGTGATGTGGGGCAACATGCAACAATTGGACTACATTATTGTTGGCAGGATTCTGGGCAAGAGATTACCATTATCTTTTTTGAACACTGAGGTCCAACACAAATGGGATAGATTTGGGGAATTTTTACTCATAACTGTGGGGCAAGACAATTTTGTTTGTATTATTTCCACCATGGAGCCCCGAGATGCTGTGCTCTATTGAGGACCTTGGTTTATGGGGGAGATATTATGGAGCTTGATAGGTGGATGCCTCAATTTTCACCAGACCAATTTGTTTTTTTGGTTAAAACCCACAAAGGGGCCTATCCGTTAATTAAGAAAAGAAATTACAAGGTCATTAAAGAGAACCTTCTGCTCGCTAATGCTCAAAAGAGCAACAAAACAATCCAAAAGAAAACCTATGAGTTGACGGTTCCCTATTCTATAGAATAATACCATAATAACATTCTAGGCTAGCCAAAAATATTGTCAAAAAAAGGAAGAAAAAGAAAGTACTCTCGGCACCGTTTTCCTGCATAAAAATAGCAAAACTCCAAGATCTCGATCCCTTTAACCTGTAAGAAAGTTAGACTACAAACAAGAATATGGGAAGTAATATGCAAGAATATGAATAATCAAATTTAAACATAGAAGGATCCATATTTTTAAATAACCAAATAAGATATTGCCCGAAAACTAAAAAGGACAACCATTAAAGTTCATGCAATTAATAACCAAGATATCACCATGCCACATAAGCTTACTAGTGAACCTACCCAAGAGATGGTTAAGGTGAATAAAATTATTGCCAATACATGAAAAATGGGCAATGATAACAACAATAGAGACCCAAAATGATAGAACAAAGAGCCCCCAAAATACAATCACATATGATGCCCATCAAGCTAATCAGAAAGG